GCGTGTTGCGTCTTGCGTCTTGCGTCTTGCGTCTTGCGTCTTGCGTCTTGCGTCTTACGTCTTACGTCTTACGTCTTACGTCTTACGTCTTACGTCTTACGTCTTACGTATTGCGTGTTGCGTGTTGCGTGATGCGTGTTATGTGATGCGTGTTGCGTCTTGCGTGTTGCGTGTTGCGTGTTGCGTGTTGCGTGTTGCGTCTTGCGTCTTGCGTCTTGCGTCTTGCGTCTTGCGTCTTGCGTCTTGCGTATTACGTATTACGTATTACGTATTACGTATTACCTATTGCGTCTTTTCTAAGTCCCGTAAACAAAACCGTGTGTAATATACATATAAACATAGTTTATAAGATCTAAGAAATTATGCGAATTCGCAAAATGTTGAAAACCACTTTCTGTCAATTTTGCCGCCTCCGTATTTTTTGAAACCGACCAATAACAACAATATTCGCACTTTGCGTGTATATGAACCTAACTTTAATCTGTCCCATCGCTTCTCCTGCCAATCTGTATTATTTATTAATCAATCAACTGACAATGTCAAATTGAAAAAAGCGTCACCTTGCCATCGCGACGACGAGTAAATTCTGAACCAAAAATCGACAAAATAAACGAAGCGAGTGATAAACGCGCTACAACGAGCACCCATTTTTCTAATATTTTTAAAAAGTCAATCTGCGATATTAGGAAAGTAATATATGATGCCATGGAACGGGTAAAAGGCCAGCCAGGCCGACGCCATTTTGTAAACTTTTTCGCCCGTTCGCTTCATGAGCTCCGGTATTAATATTGTTTTACTCTATTTGTTCGCACAAAGAACGTAAATATAGCGTAAAGGAGAGTTGATTGATGGTGTATCGATTGTTTTCGGTGTATTAGGTCGGGCTCGTAATGGCATGGGGGAGTCTGTTGTAGTGAGTGTATTTTAAAGAAACAGAGCATCTATACAGGGGGGTCCGAACTGTATTCCGGACACTGCGGCGGCACATTCTGCAGATAAAAATAAGTGAAAAAGTTCCTATAAATGTATGTCCTAAAATGCTTAGTTTCGGAGATACAGGGTGTAGAAGTTGCGTCTTGCGTATTTTTGCGGCCGATTTGATTAGCCGCGCCGAGCTTTATTCTCAAAATATACTTTATCACCGGCGAACGTTCTGTACTAGAAGTAGTTGCAGGATTCAAACTAGTTCCCAATCGATAATTGTCAGCGATACCGAGCAGATCGAAACTCTAGAACCGGAAAACGTTTTTTTGCAACAGCAACATTTAATACTCTGAGCGCCGCATAAAATTTGGCAACCGCGGCGCCTCGTAACGTACGCCAAACGGCGAGGAGCGTTCTCTCACCGCCGAGAGTGGCCCCGAACGAGCTCCAATAACTGTCTCGTAAACTCCCCCGTAATGAGTTCCACGTTCACAGGTGTTCGCGTGTTGCCGTATTTTACTCGCGCCCAAACGTTACGGTAATTGCGTAACGTAATCGTTTCTAGCCAGGGCCATCCGACAAAAGGATGGGGCGCAGCTCTATTAAACGCGTTCGTGATGAAAAAAAAACGGTGTTCTTTGTCGCTTTTAATAATGCGTTAACGCAGGCCTTTAGATTGAAAATTATTTATTTCATACTGTCCGGTATATATTGTTTGTTATATTATCAATTTGGAGTCGGTAAATATAATCTGTACAACGACTCAGAAAAGATTTCAATAGACGATAAAAGAAAAAAAAAACGCAACTGACGGCTATGTAGAATGTAGAGCGTATGATTGCGGAAACTACCGGGGAATTTCACTACTGGCTATAGGAGAAAAAGTTCTTGAAAAAATTATGCCAAACCGCCTGCACCCACATATAGAAAAAATACTCCCAGAATCACAAAGCGTCAAACCATCCACGTGCAGCGTCCGCGCCCAGCGATTGCGTCCAGCGTCCGCGTCCAGCGTCCAGCGTCCAGCGTCCAGCGTCCAGCGTCCAGCGTCCAGCGTCCAGCGTCCAGCGTCCAGCGTCCAGCGTACAGCGTCCGCGTCCAGCGTCCGCGTCCAGCAAAATCAGTACATGTATATTATTTCGTATATTTTTCACTTTATTGATTTTACGGAAAGCACTTTTCATTAAAATGTTGTATCCTATGTTATAGGGCTTGTTTCTCTCTACAATTTCCTGTCTCACAATGTACCGTTTGTGTCCAGGAAGGGTTCATAGTTTCATAGATGTCGATTTTCGAAAGAAATCAGTACCTGTATATTATTTCCTATATTTTTCATTTTATTGATTTTATGGAAAGCACTGTTCATTAAAATGTTGTATCCTATGTTATAGGGCTTGTTTCTTTATACAATTTTCTGTCTCACAATGTACCGTTTGTGTCCAGGAAGGGATCATAGTTTCATACTTGTCGATTTTCGAAAGAAATCAGTACATGTATATTATTTTGTATATTTTTCATTTTATTGATTTTATGGAAAGCACTGTTCATTAAAATGTTGTATCCTATGTTATAGGGCTTGTTTCTATCTACAATTTCCTGTTTCACAATGTACCGTTTGTGTCAAGGAAGGGATGATAGTTTCATACTTGTCGATTTTCGAAAGAAATCAGTACATGTATATTATTTCGTATATTTTTATTTTATTGATTTTATGGAAAGCACTGTTCATTAAAATGTTGTATCCTATGTTATATGGCTTGTTTCTCTCTACAATTTCCTGTCTCATAATGTACCGTTTGTGTCGGGGAAGGGATCATAGTTTCATAGTTGTCGATTTTCGAAAGAAATCAGTACATATATATTATTTCGTATATTTTTCATTTTATTGATTTTATGGAAAGCACTGTTCAGCGTCCGCGTCCAGCGTTCAGGGTCCAGCGTCAAAGTGTCTTGTTTTTCAAATTAATATTTTTTTTAGAAAATATGGGGTAATTGTTTTGAGTAATTGATATTGTGAGAGATGTGAGTTTTGAGCAATACATTACACTGTTTGTAAATAAACATCGAAATTGATAACTATGATGAAAGTGCAACAGCGTTGTTTAGCACAAAAAGCGAATCTCGCGCCGACCGACGATAGACACTAATTAAATTATTGTGTTAACCGGGCAAAATATGTCAGAACACACTAAATTATGCTCGCTGATATACATTTATATGTATATATACGCGTGTACCGCACCGTACGTACACATATATACATAAATTCTGTTATGCTAATGTTATTTGCTATTGACGGGTCTAATGAGGACGCGGGCTTTTTCGAGAGCACGCTGGCATTTTGCGGTTTCCCAGTCTGTTCTGCGGAGTAAAATAAATATTTATTATGTTTTGAGAGCGGAGCGAGAGCTCTCAGTACGCGAGCAAACGTATTATTGTAAAATGGTAGAATACCTACCTGTTTAAAATCAGAACGCTTGTTTTGGTTTTATTTATTTATATTTTTATAGTTTCGTATTGTAGTCAGTCCACTTGACATTTCCATAGTTACAGGGTGTTTGAAAATGGTCTGTATTGTCACTAGTAATACCACTAGAGGTGAACAAATTTCCGGATTTAATTTGACCTCGTGTGGTATTCGGTAAGAAAATTCCATACCAAATTGTGTTTGAAAATCAAATAACTAAAATGAATTTTTCGATTTTTGGTCGACTTGATTATTTAGTTACTATGGCAACTAAGTGACACTAAAACCTAAAAACTATTTCAGCTTTGAAGCTGTCAAGCGGCACGACTTAAAAAAATGTTTCGCTTCGATCAAGCAAGCAAAGAAAATAGTCGCCAGGAGATTGTTGTAATCAAGAATATTGTGCAGCTTGAAAAACCAACAAAATTCTTTGTTTTAAAAATGAATCGGTTTGAAAGTCATACTACATGCAAAATATTTACGCATATTTTGCATGTTAAAAAATTTATCCGTTGCCATGGTGATTTGTCAAAAAACACGTTATGATTAGTTAAAAATTACAGGTGTGGAATTTTCAGAATAAGGCCCAGCGCCCACGATGCGACTGTTTTGAGACAAAAGTTGCAAATCAATGGAGCTTGCAACAGTTTTGTAGCCTCGGTAGTAGAGGTATGTAGTTCGTGAACAAACTAGTTCCAATGAATTATTCCGACACCGGAATGAAAGGAACTAGTTCCTGGTTTCTCAAAGAACTAGTTCCTCGGGACCTATTTCGGGACCTAGCCCGATGCAAGGCAGGAGTGGAGAGTGCCAGCCGTATGTTATCGGATCCGGATCTAAAGGAACTAATTAAAAGACTAGTTCACGGGAATCTATTCAGTCGGCAAATCCGAGATATAATACAAGGCGACGACGATGGATTCGGCCTTGTCTATTGCCACAGCCGGCGTAATTACTACAGAAAATTGTCGTGGATACTGTTTTTGAGTTTTAGTTTGTTCTTTAAATATTGTATGGGAATGTTTCACTTTAGGTCCCTAAAATTAACGAACTAGATATTCTGAATTTTTTGACATATCCAAAAAACTTGAAGTGAGAAAAAATGCAATTTTTCGTAAAATTTTCGTAATATTTGCTCCAACTGATTTGTGATATAGTTTTTTAAACTTTTTTATTTTTTTTAATCTGCAATAAAATTTACCTATATGTTTTTAACATACACAATTACACGTCTAGTTATATTTCGTACATTATAAAAATTATACAGACCATACTGTGAATAGTTTGACTGACAAGAAACCCATTAACAAGCAACGGGGATAATATTAGTCGGGAACTATTGTGAACTAAAGACCTAGTTCAAGGAACTATTCCTCTGGAGAAATTAGAACTAAAGAACTATTTCCTCCCAAGGAACTAGAATTCCTACCTCTAGCATTCATTAGTAATGAATGCTGAATGTATAGTAATGAATCATTACTATACAATTCCCTAATCGCTAGTATTCGATTTTCTAAAATATTATAAAAATATAATATATAATTTTGCTGGATGTATACCTAGCACAATTTTAAAATCGATAATTTTATTATGTTTATTCAGGGCTTACCTGTATATGGGATACCCAGAACCATGTTGAAACCAGAACACCATATAAACCTTGTCATGGCCTGGTGGAGTTACGTCACATGGTAGGCTAACACTTCTTCCTTCCACAGCTTGTATTTCCTGAGCTGCCACCACTGAAATTAGAAATTAAGTGAAATTAATTAATTACAATTTTATAATTAAAAAACGTGCTTTTTTCATAGCAACTGTTAAAATTGCCTCATATCTACCAAAAATAGTAGATAAAATAGTACTTCAACCGCAAGGGTAGATTAAATGATACTTTATAGGGAGGATAGGTTAAAAACTTTATTTCTTCTCGCACGTTTTTTAATAGCTTCCATTTTTGAAAATTTTTGTATTCCTTTTCATAAGTTTTTCGGGATTTAAATGGAAGTAGTTTGGATATGGCGTTTGTCGCCTCAGCCTGTATATTTGTTGGTGATTTACTTATTTCGTTTTGAGCCATTTCTGGCTCCAATTCAATCAGCAATCGACACGAAACAGAATTAAAAAATATTGACTCAAAACTGACAACAAGAGGCAGCTTTATTTATTTGTCAAATTACATAGAAACCAGCGCCAACCCAGCACAATATTTTTTCTACTCGTAATAAATTCCTCGAAATAATAATTTCTGATTATTTTTTAAAACGGAACTCGCTATAGAAAAAAAATATTGTTTTATACACGACGATAAAATTGCATTATCGTCTCCCGAAATTAATCTTTTCCCGGTCGACGATAAAATACCATTTTATCGTCTTGTATAAAAAATAACTATTATACTTCAATATCTTTATTCATAACATATGTCTAAAGACAAAAGCTTCTATTGCAAATTTTATGTAAACTATCCTCAAATAAGATTACAAAAAGCTCCTTCTTTCCCAAAGTTACAACCCGTTAATATCCTTTAAACTTTAATAAGCGGTCCTTAATCCATATTGCGGTTTGCATTATAAATTGATATTACGGTATATATCCGTCTCTTTCTAATCTAACGGATGAGACAAAGAAGAATATAGGGAAGACCGCCTTGGATTGGAAAGTCCGGCAGTAAGTCTGCATTAGAGCAAAGCTTCAGAGCGATAAAAAGCTTTATTATCTTTTTATTGGTCTAGAGTTCATATTATATGAAATGAGTTCTTTTATAAAACACAATATAAGTTTTACAGATATATTTGCTAAGTATACACAAAAAACATGAAAAAAAAACGCGGCAGGTCTGCAGTTTCTATCAAGATGTCAATTAGTAACGTCCAGTGGCGTGACAACAGATTCACGGGCCTGTGTGCCAAAATTTTACCGGGCCCCCTATTACACCTACATATTTCAATACTTATATACTAATCTGAATAATATGCACTCATATTTTAGGTTAGAAATAACATTATCAAATTAATTTTTATATAGTACTATTTATTACTGCAACACAGAATATGTAACCCAAAACATATAAAATATCAAATAATTAGAAAAAAAAATAATAAAAACAAAACAACAAAACACTAAATTAAAATAAACAATGTAAATAGGAACATGAACATGTTAAAATTCTTTTTTCCTTGTTTTAGCATGGGCGAAAGTTGACACAATATTACCAATGTCTATTGTACGGGCCAACCAAACCAAACCAAACTTCATTTTCTATTGAAATAATTGCCAAAGCTGATTACCGTTTTTCGCCCATAGTATTTCTCAAATTATTTTTGACAAGCTTTAATTTGGAAAAAGATGAAACTAGAAGACGATGAAAGGTTTTTAATTAAAATAAATTCAGTGAGTTCAAAAATTCAATTGATTTCATATAAATTATTTCGGAAACATTGTCTGAAGGAGAGTAATTGAGAAGAAATTGTCTAGGCAATATCATCGGGGTATTTAAGGTATGGAACCTGACCCATTTCATATACAGGGTGTTTCAAAACAAATGCGAAAAACTTCAGGGGGTGATTCCTTGTTAAAAATAAAGGGTAGTTTGCTTTATAAATGTTGGGTCAAAAGTCAACCATTAGGGAGATATCGCGGAACAAAGATGGCGGAAAAATAATGTTTTTATTTTTTATCTTGAAAACGAAAAGCGATAGACTAATGAAATTTTATAGAAGCATTACTGTTATAAAAACACACTTTCTGGTAATTTTTTTACTTTTTTAAAATGAGTGGAAGGGGTTGAAATAAACTACCCCTATCATTCTTGTTAACGAAATTTAAAGAAAAATCTTATCAAACACATGCAAGATACATTAATTTGGATAGTTCAGTTGATTTAGAAACTTTTTTATCTCTTGTGTTTTTTTGATAAAAGTCACCAATTTGAAATTAAAAAATAAAATGTAAAGCATTACATGTCAGGACAAAAAACATTTTTAGATAAAGAATCTAGTTGGCTGCTGTAATTTTCTTAGGAAAAAATCTAGTCGACCGCTGTCACTTTTTAGGATGTTTCTAATATTTAATTTGACATACTCTACTGCAATACGTTATTATCTTACGATCAATTAATTATTCCGAAGCCTTTTTTCTTTATCTAAAAATGTTTTCTGCCCTGACATGTAATGCTTTACATTTTATTTTTTAATTTCAAATCGGTGAGTTTTATCAAAAAAACACAAGAAATAAAAAATTTTCTAAATAAACTGAACTATCCAATTACTTTTTTGCATGTGTTTGATACGATTTTTCCTTAAATTTCGTTAACAAGAATGATAGGGGTAGTTTATTTCAACCCCTTCCACTCATTTTAAAAAAGTGAAAAAATTACCAGAAAGTGTGTTTCAGAGTAGTTTTCATAACAGTAATGCTTCCATAAAATTTTATTAGCCTATCTCTTTTCGTTTTCAAGATAAAAAATAAAAACATTGTTTTTCCGCCATCTATGTACTGCGATATCTCCCTAATGATTGACTTTTGACCCAACGTTTATAAAGCAAACTACCCTTTATTTTTAACAAGGAATCACCTCCTGAAGTTTTTCGCATTTGTTCTGAAACACCCTGTATATCCCCATCAGAAACAGAAGGATTCTGCTTGATTCGCGATAGCATGTGACAGATATGGAAATGCGGCCCAGAACCCCCGAGGGCCTGGGCCCGTGTGCTTCGCACACACGGCACATCGATTATTACGCCACTGGTCGCAAGCTCGTGAATACTCGGCCCTTTCAACAATCAATCCTGTGAGAAAGAGATAGGCGAGATCGGCGCGGTTAGAGTTGAAGAGACGAAGATAAAAGATGTTGGGATTTAATTGTGTACAGGCAGTGGCATATATTCGGCGACAAACACAATCAACTGCTAGTGCCAGTAGTGTGTGTAAAAATAGTTATTATTATTTGCCATTTATTTTACGAATTTTAGTTTATATGTGTATAGTTTTTTTTATGTTGTAGTGTTATCGTTACTTCTTATAATTATAATATAATAAATAATAATTATAGTTATATAATAGAATAGTAAATATTACTAGTTGCTAACGCAATTTTAGGACATGATTTATGAAACTTTTTGGAGTGAAACTTCTTTACGCGCGCTGGGAGTAAAAATTCAAGGCTGTGACACACGAGCTAGCGAGACGGTCCTGACACACGAGCTAGTTGTAACGAAACGTGTTAACGGCCTAGAAATATGGTAAAAAAACTTTTTTACGCAGAAGAAAAAACACTTTTTACGCATAAAGAGCTATATTTTACGCGTAAGAAAATATTCCTTTAATTTATTACTTTTTCAACATTTCAAACTACACTTTTTCAAACATTTCCTTCAAATTTTTGAATTTAATAAAATATCCCTAAACAGTAGATGTTCTCTATAAAAATATTTTTAGATAATACCCTAAAATGAGAAAAAAAACATACTATTTAATTTATTTTTAGTGTATTATTAAATATTACGTCCACCTATGAGGAGGTCTCATCTTAGAAATCGCTAAAGATGCTACAAAAAACAAACTGATTTGTTTTCATTTGCGTTTTTTGCGAGATACGCCGAAAGCTACACGCTTTTGGTCGGGCCACTCCTCTATATATCTCTTATTTTGTTTCAGTCGCTAAAGACGCTTCACGCAAAAAACGCTTTTTGTGTGGCCGTGGGCTAAGGTCGCTATGTAATCGCGTCATTGATGACGCTCCCGGTCTTTTTCGCAGTTGCGACCATTCATAGCCGCTTTTTTGCTACTCTGAGGCAAAAGAGGAGCCCAGTGGCTCGATCGTTGGGATCTTGCGGACGTCCTAAGTCCAATATGTAAAGCCCTAATAATAATACGGTTTAGCACCAAGACAGAGAACGGGCCACCGAACGTGTAATCTCTTGAGCGGGATTATGTCTTTATTTTCGCTGGTAAAAGTGCGATGAATTATTAAGGGCATTATTCCCTTATGCTTTTGCCTTTCGCAACGCTAAAATGCATTTGTGAAAGTTAGATATGTAAATATTGTTTTGAAGAAATCTTAACAAAAGTTAACAGCTTTTCTTTAGTATATACAGGGTGTCCCAGAAATAAGTGCAAATATTTTAAGCGGTGTTAGATCTCGATAAAAGAAACATATTTTCTCTTTATCGTTTTTCAAATAAGTCCAAAATAACGAAGTTATTTTACTTTGAAAATTAAAAAAAAATGATTTTTTGCTAAAATTTTGAGAACCACTGGATATTTTCTGGATTTTCTTTCTTGTAAATTTAATCTAATACCTATGTTGTCATATATTATCAAGAAATAATGTTTTTTTATGACTTAAGTCACATAAAATGATTTAAATGAAAAAAGACTTAAGCTTTCTGCGAGCTTCCAGCACTGCCTCTAGCTTTAAACTTTCTCCTACATATTTTATCATAAAAAAACAGATTAGATAATTTTCAAAGTTACCTTAGGCCACATAAAAAATTAAAAAGACAAGTTTGCCCATAAAAAAGCCGATTTTATAAAACCAACACCGCCTTCCGGGAAACTTTTTTATTTTTATCGGCTGAGTTTTCCGCGTGGCGGCTAAACAACAAAGTAAATTTTTATTTTCCGCCGAAGCCTTTCTCGCGTCAACCGTTTCATAAATTACTTTTTATCGAAAAGAAAAACAAGGAAAAGCAAGTGTGAAAATAGAACAAAACAGGGAATAAAAAACTGATTTTTTTTACTTATATTAGATTTACAAAACTTAATGTTAAAATAAAAAAGAAAGTCCAAACCACTGTTAAAAAAATCATTTTATATATAAAGTCAAACGTACAGCTGTTTTTGACAATGGTCTGATGATGGTTGGAATTGCCGAAACCGGTCACTAATAAAGACATTTTTTGACATTTGGCTTGTTTCTCTCTACAATTTCCTGTCTCATAATATACCGTTTGTGTCGGGGAAGGGATCATAGTTTCATAGTTGTCGATTTTCGAAAGAAATCAGTACATACAGGGTCCGGAAATAGTGCGTCGGGCATCTGTAGCTCCTAGAATAAAAAACTTGAGAATTTTGTTT